TGTGAACCTAAAACCCAATAAGAATCAGTTTGATGCTCACCTTCTGTATATATGCTATTATTTTTATCCAACTTTGGCGAATCGATAAAATGTGTAGTTAATTTATTAATAACTTGATTACGTGTTTCTTTTGACAGCATTTTCTTTAATGGGAAGAGCTTCGGAGAGTTGATTTTGGGATTGTTTTTTGGGAAAACATAAGATACGGTAGGTATATTTACTTTAGTCTCTGGCGAAGATTTAACTTCTTCACTTATCTTATCTATCGAATTAGATGACTGAATAGAAGGTGTGATTATAGTACTTACCTCAACAATAATCTGATCGTTCCCTGAGGGAACGGTTTTCAAAGTCACAAGACTCTGACGATCGCTAGTATATTTTTTTACTTGATCTATGACATTTTGGATTTGTGCATTAGTTAGTTTCGAAATCTCAGTTGCGCTATATGAGACGAGCTTAATTTTATCTATTCCAACTCCATTTTCCCCAAATAGCATAAGAAGTTTTCTAGCTCTAAGAGTTTTTTTACGCAAGTTATCTTGAGTAATATTAGGAAGAAACGGGTTCATTTCTTTATAAATCATTGTTCTTGCTGTTTTATCTTTGATCTTACCATCAGTTGTAATAGTATGTACCCTGTTTTCGAATTCAAGAGAATAATAATACCAGTTTAAGATTTCTTGTTGACGAGATTTGATTGCCGTTTTAAATAAATAAGATAGATGTTGAGCTGAACTTTTATTTTCTGATATACTACAAGATACGTTAATTTCAGTAGAGCTAGTATTATATATTGCAGAATCAATGAAGTCTTGACTCTCAGTAGATAAATGTAATTCTTCTATTAAACCCCGGTCTACAATTTGATTTTTATCACACTCATTATCTTGCTCTAATTCAGAAATTTCAGCTTGACCATTAGTATTTTTTGTATTGCATGATAAATTTACATCTCGATCATTTTTTGAGAGAATGGTTTCTGTACTACTGTATGATAAGTCCTGGATAGCCGATTCTCGTTGAAGCTTCTTTTCCCAATTTCTTTCTATTATTTCGTTACGAATCTGTTCATTATGTTTTTCAATCAGAAAATAATTCATCTCTTTATCTTCAGATGATTTAGGCTTTATGCATATAGGGAATGCAGTCGAAGATGAGGTGGAGACCCGAGAATTCGTACCTTCCTGACCTGCATCAGAATTTGAATTGTAAGATGCGGGAGTATCAACATATCGTAAGTTTGTCTGTTTAGGTGTATCACCTTCTACCGATTTGGAATTAGTATCAACACACTGGTTTATAACAGGGTCAGATACATTAACATCAGTATTATTTTGTAATTGCTTCTGTTCCAATTTTACAAACCGCTTTTCATTTTCTTTTCCTGACCGCTCTAGTTCCATGATTCTGGTATTGAGCTCGGTATCTCTTAATTTCGCTTTTTCGGCATTTTGTTCTAATTCCATTATTCTAGCCATAAACCCTGCTTCTTTAGCTAAGAATTCAGCCTTCTCCCTTTTAAGTTCAGTAATCTCGGCTACAAGCTTGGAATTTTGTTCTTCGAGCAAATCAATTTTGGATTGCGAGTTTGCCATTTTTTATATAAAATGCGGATTATTCAAAAGCTTGTTTATTAATCTAACTCATATATATAATATAAGTCACATAATACAAAACCGTTCCCTTGGGGAACGATCAGAGACACGTGAAAAAATTCTCAATCATATTTACAGTACATGATATTGTTAGCAAATATATCAATAAAATAAATTCACTCAATATATGCATGCAAAAGTAAACATGATTATTTATGCGAAATTGGCCACCAGGGCCAGCTTTATTGCAAAAGTCTACATGCATTATATACAATAAACTGGAAATCTAGTTTTATTTGTCTGTAATCGAGGATGTTTTGTATCTAAATATAATAGTATACACCTTTTTTTATTTTTCAATGTAAACCACACCACATACGTATACACAAGTTAAAAATCACAAGTCCGGGCAAACTTTATTAACCACAGCATCATGTGAGGTATTTAGTTAACTAAAAAATTCTGTAATATTTAATCGAAAATTAAAATGCTAATAACATCTTTCATTGATCAGTACGTTTTGATTGTTTCTTTGGGGTCATTTTTGTGAAGTTATCTCCATCATCAGATGATTCTAGCGTTGTATAATTTTCATATCGACTTTCTAAGTTGTTCCATACTTCATTCGCCGAGGCAACCCTTTCTTTAAATGCCCACATCATCCGCAGAACGAAGGCAAGTTTTGTGATATCATTGTTGGAAATCTTTACAGACCCGATTTTTCGAGCTATGTAGAAGGGATTAATGTACTCCATCTCAAACAAATCTTGTGTGTATCCATAACACTGTGAGCCATATACGCACAAACCCTCTTTTGGTATCTTGTAACCTAATTCGCGTTTTTCTTTCTTAGATATATGAAGCATATCTCTCATTTCTCGAAGCAATTTATAAAGATCTTCAGCTGTCTTCCGCCTATCTTGATCTTGCGGAGCATAAGATATTTCCATAACAAAGCATTCACGCCCATCATTTGATAATCCCGTTCCATCTCCTTTGTGCCCTGTTGCAACTCTTGGGAGAGAGAGAATATCACGCCCACTATCTTTTCTTAATGCCGTCGAATCTAACTCGACCTCTCCCCACGTATATTCTACATATCCACTCCGTATCGCTTTCCCTGTTATAAAGCTCATTATTGTACTCCACATGGCCTCTGTAGTTGAGGGATGTGAGATCGCGCTTCTTTTACTTGTGAATTCGCTAATAAAGATATGGATAACTAGTAATGCATACTGCTCAAACAAGCTGATGTCGTCTTCACCTATAGCTGTCCACACTTGCGCAAATTTCCGCAATAAAGACTGCTTCTCATCTTCTATCTTTTGAAAAACAGGACTAAGTCTCTCCAATAAATTTTCTTCCGCGAGATGTAGTTTTTGGCCTCGGATTTGCTCCCAGCTTTCTTTCAAACACATAGATTTGAGTATGTCGTTCTGGAAAGTTACCACAATGCTATCATTCTCCACTCTCCATTGATGCAAGTCAATTTTAAGCAAATACTTATTCCACACATCGGTGAAATTCTCACCAGATTTAAGGATGCATGGCAATGTTTGCTGTGGGTATTCTGTCATTACTAGATCATGTGAAACTTGCGTAGATGGACCGGAAAAGAATTCATCTATTATATCCTTGTCATTATTGGATGATTTTTTGCCCGACATCGGAAAAGGATCATTGTCGAGAGAGAATTGGTTTTTAAGAGAGACAGAAGATAAATTCTCAACTGATTCCAAAAAAGGACTGTTTTCGGTACCATCATCGTCTTCACTATCCTGTCCGTATTGCAATGAGTAATATATTAGAATTGTTAGCCCGGCAACAATAAAATCCTATGATAGTTATCACCTTATTAGTCCTGGTACGTTTTGCTGTTCTTTCGTTGTCATTATCAAAAAACCTCTTCGTTATGCTGGTGGTGGTTGATTTGGCATATTGTTGAATTTGTTCTGTCGCTACTGTGGCAACGGTTATGTACTGGTTTGTCTACGGAAAATGGATCAAGAGTGAATGTTTTGACCTATCACGTTAGATTTGGGTGGAATGAAAATGAATTGAGTACCTGCAACTTTTGAACCTTCGCATTTGCTTTTTCTTTTCGAAAATTGACCTTATCTTCAACCAACTGGTTCTTCATTATAAGATTTTGTCTTTCGTTTTGAAGTTTCCAAAAATTCTTTATCGCTGATGACCGTTTACTTTCCTATAAAACAGAAGTTCTAAGTACCTGAACTTCGTTTGATAATTTGTCCTATTCACGTGCAAACAACAATAGGTAACATCACGAACAAACAAGCACACAGATTGTATCATTCGATTATTGAATATATATCTTTCGCGACCACCATGAGTCTACAAAATCCATTAAGCATAGCTCACCAACAGACAAGCAGTCGTTCCCACTACAAGCGCGCAAGATTGTAGAGTAGTTGGTGTACTTAATGGTATGATGAGTCTCAAGGCGGTTCGTGGAGCAAGCTCACCAACAGACAAGCAGTCTTTCCCCTACAAGCTGTCAGGTTGCAGGGTAGTTGGTGTACTCATTACCCTGATCCAAAAATTATATACGTTACTTGCCTTGAAAGCATTTTTCCACCTTTGCACTTCCTGCCCAGACTCAGATGCTTCAGCATAAAATTTGCTGATTACGTCTAATTCTTTCTTGTAACGATCGTATTCAACTCTTGAATCTTCTATGTCGCCAGCTGAAAGCCGAAAATCTAAAAATTTCTTGAGAGAAGGCTGGTCCGTACTCTCCCAAAAGGCTATATAATCGCAAATGATAAGTTACGTTGTAAACATAAAGAACGTTAGCACTGTTTATCTTACCACGGTATTTCACAGCGTTAAGACATTCAGGAAGGAGGTACATAACGTCAGAGTTAGTCGTGAAAAATAAAACCCGCGACAAAAGAAATTTGAAAATACTAAAATTTTTCGGGGTTGCATTTTTTAGGGTTTGGGCTAGGATTTATGACGCGCGCATTTTGTAAGTTATGAAACAGCAGAGACAGTGCCCGATCCAGAGGAATCCCTCTCCCCTGTGATCAATCACAAATTAACTTATTTATATTGGATTCAATTGGATATAATCCCTCACCAGTTTTAATATATGTGTAACATTAACGGTCTCTGCTGTTAAGTTATGATAAAATTGGAACCGTTTAACCGTATAAAAATTTTTTATAGTGCCGGGTTGAATTATGTTTATCACGGGCCAGGCCAATTTTAATGCCAGCTGAATTAAACGGTTAATATGGTTAAACGATTAACCGGTTAAGAAAATTTTAGGTGGTTCCAATTCCTACTTGTAAGGTGATACAGATAAATTTCATTATTCTAACACATTTAGGTTACATGGTCGAGAATTTTCACATTCACACCGCCTATATATTCCATCTGCTACTTTTTTGCATGTTTTGCAATATAGGTGTGAATGGTGATTGCATTCGTCACAAACTTTACATCCATGCTTCCAA